CTTAGGAATTGGGGGTCCCAAGGAAGAAACTCAGGTTGTCAAAGTTGGTAGCAAGTACTTTAACCCCTTAGCCATCTCCCTGGTCTGTTGATTTGGGTTTTTGTAATATTTAATTTGGGGGCGGGGGAGAGTACTTGTAAGCCCAGCAATATATTAAAAGTATGCTCATTATAATTTACCAGGCTGGTCTAGAACTCATGATCCTCCTGCCTTAGCTTCCCATGTACTGGGATTACAGGAATATGCCACCAAGCCAAGATCTAAATATCTTTGAAAGGATCCAGCACACTATTTTCCCAGTGTGGCTCAGACTGTAACCAGCAGGGTCAGAGCTCAGCCTATGATCAGGATCAAGCTAATTCTGTGGACTAAAGTGCAGCCCAGTCTGTGGCTGGCTCAGGTCTATTGTTTTTTCGGGTTTTCCAACCTTCATCTGTATCCAGCTTTGATTCCTTTCCTGATCAGACAGAGTGATGGGGTCAGCTGGCCACCAAGCTGCCCAGGAGTGCTTCCTCCGGAATGAGGCCGCCTTCCTTCTCCTTCTGCCAGGAGCTAGTCTGGCCACCCCCAGAGGTTGAAGATGAAGAATCTCTTGGGAAGCCCTTGGCTGAGGGTTGGATCTGCCTGGCCCCAAAGTCATCAAAACAACAGCTGGGCCTGGTGGGGGGTGGGGAGGTGACGGGAGAGAGCAACTCCTAAGCCGAAGTGGCTGCTGGCTGGGTGAGGAACTCTTGTCATAACAGCTGTCTGAGACATTCCATTTCTGAAAGGTGTTTCCCAGCTTCCCAAGCCCATCCTGAAGCCTTGGGTGTCTTCCAGGTGGCCCTGGGAAAGTCCAAGGGAGGGTAGTGGGATGAGCTTCTTTAGTCCAATCTTTCAGATTTTATTTTTCTATTTTTCTGGGCATGTTTCCAAAAGAACTCTGTGTGCAGGGCATGATGGTTTATGCCTGCAATCTCAGCACCAGGGAGACTGAGGCAGAAGAATTGCTGTGAGTTTGAGGCCACACTGGGCTACAAAATAAGACTTTGTCAAAAACAAACAAACAAACAAACAAACCAAAAAACAAAAAAGCAAAACAAAACAAAAACCAAAAAAAAAAAAAAAAAAAAACCTTGTGCTGTGAATGGAGCTGGGTATAGCAGGGTATTGCTTGGTGTTAACAAAACAAAAAAAAAAAACCTTGTGCTGTGAATGGAGCTGGGTATAGCAGGGTATTGCTTGGTGTTAATGTGAGGCAGAGAGATGATATAGGTTCCATTCACAGCATCACCTAAAAATAAATAAATAAATAAATAAATAAAGGAATAAAGGAATACTATGGAGGCTGGAGGAGGTCTGCAGAAGGGGTCTAGGGTCTGTATTTAGCTGTGAAGAACAGAGTTGTACCAGCTGGTAGAGAAGTAGAGCCTGGGTACTGAGGAGACTAGCTAGCTTACCAAGCAACCAGGCATGGTCTGGGGGTTACTGCTCTTTTGTGGCCCTCTCTTCAGAGGTCTTAAAGGCCCCTTCCATTTCCCCCACCACATGGACAGGTCCTGGAAAGGGGGTTTTGGGCTGAAGGGAAGAGTGGGGCTGGTTCTTCAGTCACAATGCTCCCTCCCCATCCCTGAGGTAATCACTGGCCTTTGCCTAGCCTACTGTCTCCTGCCTTGGCAATACTCTGAGCTCCACAGTGTCTGTCTGCCAACTCTTGCCTAGCATGAGCTCAAGACAGAAATGTCATTTAGGAACTGGGATCCTCATGTCTAGACTCCAGCCTCAAATTCCAGAGTAGCCTCACTCTTCTAAGGGCCTCCATCTCCCATGTCCCCTCCACTTCCTCAGGGCTTTAGAGTTAAGCTTCAAGGTGGGCTAGCCAACATCTTCACTTAGGGGGTGCTCCTTTCCCAGTAACCAGGGGCCTGCCTTGTAAAAGGGAGTCTGGCTGGTATGTGCACACATGTATGACTCTGTCCTGCCTATACTCCTCTTATGCTTTGGGTGGGGGCATCACCACAGTTGAAAAGACTGGGCTCAGAGAGATTTCTGTCTTACTTAAACAATGTATTCATTCACAAAGTATTTGCAGACACACCCTCAGATAGTACCTGCCAGTAGGGGCCCCGGGTTTAGCCAGCTTTGTCTGTCCAGCGGTCTGGGCTTAAGCTCTAGCCTTGTTCCCCTCCCAAGCATGTGGGCTGGGCTTTGGTAGAGGCATGAATCTCTGCCTCTTTGGTAGAGCTGGGGGTGAGAGGGTTAGGAGGTGCTGAGTAGGAACAGGCAGAACTGGTGCTGGCCCTGAGAGATGAAGCCATTCCTCCTTCTTCTCTTAGGTCCCCACTGCTGGAAGACCCCCTTTCAAGAATACTGGATCCTTCTTGGGATGGGTCAGGAAACTTGGGCCACCTCTTACAGAAGCATCCCAGCCAGGACCCAAAGCTGGGGGTCCCATGTCAGGGTTGGAGCATTCCTGCTCAGCTAGTGGCACATTTGAGGCTTGCAGTCTATCTCTGATGGCTGTTTCTCTAGGAGCATGGAGTCAGCTGTCCTTGCCTCACCTCCTCACCTTCCAAGCTTCTCCTCGTATTCAGAATCCCATCACCCTCCCTATGGTCTGAAGGCTAAATAACCTGGCTTGCTTCCTGTGTCCTAGCCCAAGCATCTTGCCACATACATGCACTCCTACCCACAGCCCTCCAGGTCCTGGCACTTGCTGTTGCCTCTGCTTGTAAGGGTCTTCCTTCCCCTAGCTCCTACCACAGGGTTCCCACTGATTCCCTGGCCTCACATATTATACATTTCTCAGGGAAAATAAGTAGCCCTGTGTATTAGTTACTTTTATATAGCTTGTGGCCACTATAGGAGCAACTTAAGATTTGCTTTAGCTCAAGGTCTCAAAATGCTGCGGTCTGGCTGGGCGGTGGTGGCACACACCTTTAATCCCAGGACTCGGGAGGCAAAGGCAGGCAGATCTTTGTGAGTTCGAGGCCAGCCTGGTCTCCAGAACGACTGCCAGGATAGGCTCCAAAGCTATACAGAGAAACCCTGTCTCAATAAACCAAAAAAAAAAAAAAAATAGCTGCGGTCTGTCATGGTGGGGACGCTTGGTAGGAAGGTCCTTCATATAGCAGCAGACCAAGTAGCATCAAGCAGCAACACAAGCCAGTAACTGGTCTTTAACCCTCAAAAACCTGCCCTTTACCGTTAGGCACGTCCTCCTACGGGCTGTTGGACTCCTAAAGTTTCATGGGCTCCCAAAAAATACTAACTAGGTGATGAGTGTTGAAAGCATAGGTCTGGGGATCATTTCAGATTCAGATCATAACACCCTGCGTCTCTGTTGCCTGGAGCATTCCTGCTCAGTTCTCATCTGGCAGTATTGGGAAGACAAGGCTTGGCCCAAGCCTTGTGTCCTCAGTGCAGAGATTGGGGTGATGGGGGGGGGCTCTGGAACCTGCCCCCACAAAGCTGGTCTAGAAGAAAGTGTAATGGATATCAGGAAGGAGTTGGGAGCCCTGATGCTCTTGGTTGCTCCTTGACTGCTGTGAGACAGGGTCTTAGGGTCCAGGCTCAACTCATTCCAGTGCCCCAGGCTTCCAACAGCTGCTCCCACCATTTCCTGTTTCTGTGTTATAGTGTGTGCTTGGGTTTTCACATTAGATACAAATGACATGACAAGTGGGACACTGGTGGCACACACCTTTAACCTCAGCACTCAGGAGGCAGAGGCAGGTGGATCTCTGAATTTGAG